GAATATGAAGGTAGCAAATTGTCTTCATATCCTAACATTATTCCATAATTTAGAAAAGAAAATTAGAGCTTTTGAGTTTTTAGGCTTTCAGTTATATCAAGTAGTTTAACCCTCAGATATGTTCTAAAAAATTTCAGTTTTTTGTTCTAAAACTACATTTTAGCTCCCCATTTTGCCCATTTTTGACTGCTTGTAAATAATGATTTGGGAAAATTGCTGTCCACGCAAACTGATGAAGTAACCCTGGGCATAAAAAAAGCTCCTTGACCCTTCAGATTCCCACTAACTCAGTGATAGCTGTGCTATAATTTATAAATGCTTTTAAGAGAAAGTGGTCTTTTGACCTGCCTGTCGGCTGTACAATGCCTTGGCAATGTGGAAATCACTGAAACCAATCAGAAATTATTATAAAAATGAAGTATGCACCCCGAGAAGCAGCATTGTTTGCGTACATGACATTTTGATGTCGCAGGTATACATTGTAAACACACTTAATGGAAAATATTGCCATATTATCGAGTTTTTCATTTTCTTGAGAAATTAAAAAGCGGAAAACAATTGCCAAGATTTGTAATTCAGGATCAGATATTTAGTAGGTTCAAACTAAGGAAAAAGTTAATTCAAAAGACAAATACTTTTTAGTTTCCAAACACAGGGCTGTTATAATGTAACAGAAGGATATTTGGCTGTTTATTTGGCTACTCGAACCCGCTGGTTCCTACCATTCTACTCCTTACATTTTACGCTATACTGCATCATCACACTCATACGTTTGTAATTTCATTTCGCTCACTTGGTGGTGTTTACTACGACTCCAGAAAACATTCCTATTTCGGTTACCTCCCCCGACATTATGGAATGTCTCGGCATTCACGTATTCTCTCAGTTCCTCTGACTACGCAATACCTTGCACAGTCAGGCATAGGACTGGATTGTGCCACCAATCACTCTGGAGTTAAGGTGAAGGCTAGGGCCAGGTCAAAGGCTAATCAATACAGTATATTGGTAGGAATGAGACCACCGCGTGTCGTGCTTGTCAAATCATGTTCAATCAAATCCACGTCCATCGTTAGAAATTAGCTCTATCTGGTGTACTGCACAAAGTCATGCAGCTAAATGGTGCAACGAGACTGGAGGAGATACCGTCAAATGCACGATTCTTTGCGAGGTTTACAATAAGAACTGACCCAATTCGACGTAAGGACAGTGTTTTTTTCATGCTCTTCACAGTCTGTTCAACCGTCTGTATGTGGCTAGTCAAGGAGTTTTTGTGCCACAAATCTTTTGTAGTCCGTAGAACTATACGTGACGAGACTTTTGATGCGTTGTGGATAAAACGCGTATTAAATTTTTCACTACTAGTCCGCTCATCCCTATCAAATGACTTCAAAATTTCCTTGAAATAGTGGCACTGACAAACGCAAAAACTTACTCAAAAGCCCGTTACTTGATTTCTTTTTCTACCTTAAAAAGTAGTGATTCGATTTGAGTTTAACAGTAACCTTGTATAAGTATACACGTTAATCTAGCTAGCTCCTACTTCCACCCAGCTGCATCGCCCTCCAACCATGCCTCTGGCATCTCAGCTAACCTCTGGGATAATGACAAATCTCCTTCTTGTGTCAGTGTAATTATAAAGGCTTCGAGGAATACTGGTTGCGCTGCATCTTATTATGTGGTTGATATCGCGACCATATTCCTCTATAATTATCCTGGAAGTGACTTAAAATTATTCTTCGACTTCAAATGCTTCAGCTATCTCTGTTCTACATGTCAAACTTAAGGGAAAAGAAATTGGCATTTAGTAAACGATACAATGTAAATAGGACAAATCATTTTCTGACCTCCAGCTGATAGGCAAATATTCTAGGGCGTTGTATTGAAAAAGGTGAAGTGATTGACAACTGACAGATGATCATGATTTAGCATGGAATGCAGGTGCTGAGGCTGAAAGGATTGCACAGTTAGGCAAGAGGCGAATTCATTCCATCACAGCGGCACATCCAGAGTCAGGCCTGGGGGTGTAACAAGGAATACCGGCATGGAAGGAGAGTTCCATGCTGAAATTCAGACAAGATGGAAATCATCATATTTGGATGGATAACCAATCCTTCACGATGCTGGGAGGACTCACTGAGACTGAAGAGCTTGCATTGATGGGTCGGAGGCAAAATAAAAAGCGACTTGTTAACTACATCTATCAGGTGGTGCAGCAGACATTAGAAAACTTGAAGGCCTCCATTTCGCCTACTTAACTGGAAGCGGGATCAAATTCGCCGAAAATTAGGAAGAGCAGGATTCCGCCGATTGTGATGCTTGTATAGTGGCTTGGAGCATTACATTAACATCCGCTGGAAACTTCCAATGTTTTTAGAGGCAGCTACTTATGTAATTCACGATATAACGATTCCTATCCTCTGATTATAAAGCCAAATAAGTCAGCAGGATTAAGTAAAAGGTATTAAATAAGCCTCCAAGTAGCTCTTTAGCTTTCCTTTATATGTAAAAAACAGACTTTATGAAACTCTATTACTTTCCAAGGAAAGGCAAGCTACCCACAAATTTTATGTTAAAAGAGGTTCATTTGTAGAAACCAAGAAAACGTCTAGCTCTAGTCGTTGCCGTTTTATCACCAAACGAATGGTCTTTCCCCTGTGGTGCCGAGAAATGACGATGAGCATCGTGCAAACATATTGGAGGGGAATATGGGAATGAGAACAGAACAATGGCGTTCTTCTTCTCCGAATGCTGTACAATAAGTCGTAGCAACTTTGAAGCCGTGTTTAGCCTCGTGAATCATATCATGTACGACTGAACTAGAAGGGAAACAGATCAAGGAGTCCCATTCAGCTTATCAAACATAGGTGACAAGTCATTGTAGCATGGTATACCATAAGCAGCACAAATTTTCCTCCTTACCTGTTGATAAAAAGCATTTTAATCAACAAAATAAAAAACGGAATTACAAGTTCTTGTTTGTTCTCTTTCTGCAGTACACTAGACTTTATGAGCTAATTTTACCACAGGGGAGAACTTAAAGTTTTAACTCAAAACTCTGATAAGCCATCCCACTAACCTCTTCAGCCACCGAGACTGGTCCATCAATCTTGTGTCGCAGCCATTTTTTGCGTGTATTCGAGGCGGCAGGGGACAATGGTGCGGGGAGAACGGCTCCCGGTTGCTAAAGTACTCTAAGTACTGCAAAAAATCGGGGCTTTGAAAAAATGGGATGGTTAGAAAAAAGGAAGTCAGACGAAACCAATAATGCTCGTAAAATTCTCTTAAAGGGGCGTACTGTAGAATATCTACGATTTCTACTTTTCGAAGATAGGCAAATTTGCATTTTCACATTCACTAGTCTTGCCAAGATTAGCTTTGAAACTGTTTAGACGATCAGAGTTTGCCAGATAAGAAGAAGCAAAAACAAGGGGTGTATGTATTTTTTATCAAATAGTTTGTAATTTAGGATGCATTTTAAAATGATCAAATTCAATTGAATGTTTCGATATCAATTTCAAATGTGAAATCTAGAATTCTTTGGGACAAAAGAAAAATCTTAAATTATCATAAGATTTTTTAAGCCATCTGTCAAATCTTTATGATAAAATTACGATCAGATTATTGATTGCACGAACAGTCTCTTAAAGTTAACTTGGTCGCCAGTCATGCCTAAGTCCTCCTTGAAGACTTCGTAAGGCTTGAGTGTGATGATAAACTGTTGGCAAAAATTATGAGTGAGTCTATGGCATTAAGTCACCGAAAATGAAGAGGCAAATAAGCTTGAAAGGAGAATTTTTCACTAAACTTGGCTGCACAACTAGCAACCACTAGATACTCCCCCTTGTCACCTTACACACTTATCTGAGGCATTTCCGGCTGCTTCAAATTTGAAGGAGAAGCGATTCTTCGCACTGCATTTGAAGGGTGCGCATAGCCAAAGATCGGTTAAAACAAGCGTGATTTGAATAATATGGTCCCTTTTTAGTCGCATCCTCAGACCTCTCCCAAATCGGTCCCTGAAGGCCACGAGTCCTCGTGACATAAAGATGGTATAGTACATTCTACCCATGTCATTAGCGTCAGCATATGCTATGGACTTAGCCTGGATTAATCTGCAAGATGAACTGCATAGAGGAGAGATATTCCTAAGAGACAAATCACTGTGATCATTGCGAAATAGAACGCGATTTTTTGTGGAATGTTTCAGAACAGTTACAAATGGCTTCATTGAAGTACCACCAAATAGA